AGTTTTCTCATATGGAAAATGGGATATGATGATCTGATGTAAGCATTATACCTCTCCACATCTATGCAGTATTTAGAACCGGTGACTAGCATACACACAGTTGCTGGTGTGTGTGTGTGTGTGTGTGTGTGTGTGTGTGTGTGTGTGTGTGTGTAATATAGTGGGGAGGGAGGATCTACAGAATGGCTGGATTACATATCTCCATGTTTGTGAAGCTTCAGACTGATGACTAGCACACATCTACTAATACATCAACATTATTTCTTCCCACAGGAAGTTTCCTTTGAGTAAAGGAACCATGGGTTTCTGATGCACACTTACTGCTCCATCCCGCTTCAGAGAGGAGGCACAAGTAATAACAGCATACCCTTCCTCACTCCTTCCCCACATCTCGTTTCAGTGTGTGACTCACCGACATGTTTCCACGTTCACCTATCCAGCTCCTGGGGTGGGAGTGACAAATAAAACTAATTGCCCTTCCTAAAACTGGAGTCAACATCTGAAGTCTATGGCAAGTCTTTGTTTTATCGTTCCTTTTCACAGAGGAACAATAGTTTCAAATGATAGTTTAGGCGTCTTAGCACAAGGCGCTCGTACCAGCCACTTACCAGATGTCTCTGATAAATTTGCCTGTGTTTCCACCAGACATTTAGCATGAGCTTGTTAGTTTGCTCTGTCAGTGCTTGGAGTTTGGTAAACAATGTCTATAGAAACAGAACACTTGATTCCAGTAACTGGTCTGATCTTTGGAGGCATGGCAAACTTAGTGCTCAAGCCAAATCTGATATGGACAGAAATATGAACCCTTTCCATGTTACAGCCTTGAGAGGTATGGGATTCATTCAGATAACCGTATTTGATCTGTCATGAGCAGCACAGCTTGGGCCGAATCCATTCTGCATACCCTTTACTCAGAGGCCTTGGCATAGGACTCAGCTCATGCTAGCCATCAGTGTAACATGCAGCTCCTACTCAGCTCCACGTGGAAGAAGAAGGAAGCACCAGCAACCCTAACCCACAGACTATGTTATTATAAAACTTCTTGGGAGTTGAACTGAGGTCTGTGGGCAGATCTACAATATCAGAGGTCTCTAAATCAAATCTTAAGTGGTATATTTTGTAATGGCCATGTGTGCCTTTCCACACTCTGGCAGAAGAGAGTAGCATGAAATTATCCCTAAGCTTCATCTAGCTCTGAGATCTTCTGATATTATTCATCTATATTACATTTAAATCAGAGATCAAAACACTTAATAGAGCATAGTGACTCTCCCGTGAGCTAGAGCACTCCGATAAACCTGGTGCTTGTCATAGAAGCAGATTGCATGCCTACTCAGCTGTCTTCTTTTGAAGATCTAAACTGGTCCATAGGCTCAATGCCAAGTGACTACAAAGAGACATGAAAGTCCAGGGCCACTTCGCTGCAATCTGCTTTGTGCCCACCCCACTCTGTTAGGATCGTCTATATTTTCTGTGTCTCTACCTATACTGGCGTTACTTTGTCTATAAAGTGTTCCCAAAGGACCCACAGAGATCACAGTTTTATCATTGGCAGTAGTAGATACAGGAGACACATATTCTAGAATAGTAATAACAAATAGTATTTAGACATATAACCATAATTAACTGAATTTGAAAATTCATTTACTTACAGACACCACCCACATTTCAACCACTCAATGGCCACATTTGACTACTAGCTACCACAGTGGACAGCATGGGTTACAGAGCTTTTTAGTCATTGCACAAAGTTCTACTAGACAAAACTGAACTATTCCTGAGCCTAATCCTTAAGAGAAAACCCTTGAACTGTATCAGAAGCAATGTCTAGACCTCCACAGTCCCCTGCCATGCCATTACAAGTTACCTTACTTCAAACACACAGGTGCAGTGGTGCAGATTGCCTCTTCAGACTCTAAAATTACACTTGTGGAGTCCAGGTCAACAAAGCTGACATGAGCTGAAGCTGCTTAAGATAAATGAGGGGCAATCAGAAGTCACAGCATATCTAAGGGAAGGTCTCAAAAGTCACTGGCAAGGGTGCTGTGAATGACAGTTCCTCATAGATTATTAAAACAGAACTTTGATGTTCTTGATTTGTCATCTCATCAAATTTTATCCTCTTATTTCTCCTAATGGTTCATAGCTCCCTAAGACTGTTGATTTTAAGAGAGCTGTGAACCTTTACAAAAAAAATGTATCACAGTGATAATCAGTGGCTTTCTGAATAGGCGTGGAGAGCAGAAGTTATCCAAAGTGTATCCGGTACATATATATTAGGTATAAATTTAGATTTCAGTTCATTCAGGAAACATTACAGAAGCTCCATGAATAAATTATGAGAACTTAGGAGTCAACAGAACAGCCATTTTCACTCAGTGCATTCTTACATCTCTATCAGGTTCTGCTTGGAAAGTGGCCAAATCAATGGGCAGTGTCTATCCAGCCTAACTCGGGACCAGCACCCCGTATTCCTAATGCTCTGACTTCCGGAACATCATTTAATATAAAAAAATTTCATAAACTTCATTAGAAATAGTCAAGATTTATTTGGTCTTTTTCTCCAAAACTAGAAGTGTTTAGAAAGAGGAAAATGAATTGTTAATGGTAACTACTTCTAAAACTCTGAAAAAAAATATATCTTTGTTAGCTGTGGTCAACCAGTTATTTCAGACTGAAGGAGAAATGTATTTGTATTTTATCAAGGGAAGTTGAAGCTCAAGCCAGTCAATGAGTGGGCAATGGGTTCATGTTCTACTTAAACATTTCTCCCATGACCTCAAGGCTCTGCAAAAGCAGATGAGAATTATTAGGGCATGAATGATCGGCTGCCCTGTTTAGGACCAATCATTAAAAAAAATCACTTTTCTTTTGATCTCCAGTACTGTAAAAAAATCAATTTGTTCCTTTCTTCCTCCTGACCTACACATACACATGAGGATGTCTGATTTGTCGTGGGGGTGAGGGGGCTCACTGCTAATCCTTGCTCAGAGGCGCACTGCCTGTCCAGCCATACCTTCACAGAAGAACAATGATGGGGGTTAAGTATATACACAATAATTTTCTTTGCCACATAAATAACTAAGCCAACCAACCAATTCAAAGGGATGTGTTTGTCTCATATTATTTAGCTCTGGGAGAGCAGTGTTTTGACTGGAGATGAGTGAAGGCATTTGGACAAAGCAACTGAACAAATCCTTGGTTTCAAGAGGATGGAGAGTGGCTTATGTGGCTAGAAAGTCAAAGTTGGTAGTACTTAGTTTCCTCATACACTGTCCCATATATACAACCAGATTCAATTTGGGAAGATTTGGGGATGACAGTAAACAATCTACTACATATGCTCACATATGTACGTATTTGGGTATGTATAATGACATAATGCATGATATATAACTATACATCCATATATCAAAATATATAGCCTATCAAAAAGAACAGGGGATAATTTTAAGTTCTGAAAGAGATGCATGCTTATAATGTCTATAATTTATAAATCCATACCACTAAAATAATTATTATTTTGAAAGAAATAAATACAAAAGACTTTTCTAAACCAACTAATAAAAATATTCTGGGCCTCAAAAAAACACACTGTCTAATACTAATCAGAGTTATCTCACCTACAGAATAGTGTGATTAATAACCCAGTGTGCTGATTTTTCCTTTCAATTATTTATTGATCATTCACTATTTCAACTGCTGTCAACAAAGTGAAGAATTAGACTCCCTTCATAATTTTGTTGTCAAGATTAATCAGCTATTTGTTTAAGTTGGATGTTTTGTCGTGATTTATGTTCCATGTGCCTGTGAGTAAATTAAAATCTGATTTAATTTCATAGAGCTTGCACAGAGATGCAGACTCAGCCAAGACATTACCAAGGCGAAGACCTCACATCAATTAAAAACACTTACTCATTGAAAGACAATGCAGAAAGGAGACCGTAACTCATCTTTCTAATCACTCTCTCCTAACCAGGAAATCAAACTTTAGTCAGAAGTATATGCACATATACACACTGACATACACTTAAGAAACAAACAGAGGTAATATTTTCTTTCAAAAATTCAAAATTTTATCTCCAACATGGACACATGATAAGAACACAGGAACCCTAAATTCCCCCATTTGATCAGTGCACTTTGTATACTATGTTTAAATACCACACTGCACGTATAAATGTGTACAGTTACCACATGTTAATTTGCAACATTTAAATGGAAATCAATCAAATTTTAAACATTAATTATAACTTTTAATTTGTTCCCTCTGCCTGAAATGCTCTTTTCCCCTAATTTCCGCTCGGGGTTTGTCCTTCACGTCTGTGCTGAAAGGTCACCTCATCCATCAGCCAGGCCTTCATGACAATTGCCTTCTTTCACTTTTCCCTACCACTCCCTGGACACTACCTATCACACTGCTTCTAGTCACTCTGTCATTTATCCCAATTAATAATTGCACATTCCTCATTTGTCTCTCTGTGTGTGCTGTCTCCCCACACAAGAAGGTGAGATCTGTGTCTGTTTAGTTTAAGCAGTGAATGGATGCTGTCATCCTCCTTTGCATCTCCATTATGGTCCTTTCTCAGAACTCTTGCAGACCAGCGGCTAGGAAGCTTGCTTTGCTGTGCATGGTCAATCCCACCGTGCTTTGAGTACATTGTTAAGTCTGCTTACTTTGGAAGACAAGTGCACACTGTCTGAATGGTCTTCCCTCCTCTGGGAGTGACAACCGAACAGAGATGGTGTCTACTAAATCTGGCCCCTCGGTTGTACCCGTCTCTGAAACTAGACACCTCAACATCCAGGTAAAGCACAATTTCAGATTTGAAAGAGCTGGATGCTAAGAGACACATTTCCCAGACAAACCCATTCTACAAAGTTCTCCATACCCACAGCCGAGGTTCCCATGCTCTTGACCTTTGAGAAGCTGCATGATTACCTCTGGTCCTTCCTATTGTGAAGGTCACTTTAATGAACGAAGCACAGAAGCCACTTACCTGGAGTCCTTCCTGACTCTTGCTTTCTCAAAGGAAAACTCAGGGGGTTTGTTGAGGTCATAGGTGCGGGTTGTGGGCTCTGCAGACACTCCAGCCTTCGCCCCCCTCCTGCTGTGGAGAGACACCAGCCCTGATGTCTTGCGGTGAACCTCCAGAGGCACTTTGTCCGGAGAGGCCTGCGGTGGGCTTCCTCCCTGCACGTGAACCACGTCCTGCAGCTTGTTGAGTTGGATACACTTGCTCTGCAGCTCCTCCGTGAGCTCCGCGATGGCCACGGTCTGCTTGGACAGCTGCTCCCGCAGCTCCTTCAGGTGGTACTCCCGTTCCTGGAGCTCTGCATCCTTCCTCCTCAACTCCCTCTCCAGCTCTGCCACCTTGCTCCGCAGAGCATCCGTGCTGAGGTTCCCTGACTGGCCATCTGGGTGCTTCGCGTGTTTGGGTTTCACCGAACCATTTCCCATGTTGCTTGGGAATCTAAGGGCGGGAGCATAACTGGGAATGAGTAAGTGGAGGTCCACCTTCTAACAGCCCTCCCCTTTGCAGTCCGCTTCATAAACAGACACACAGCAGTCATCACCCTTTGATGAGAAATGAATTCCTCCATCGGCACAGAGGACACTCATGATGGAGTCCTTTATCCCTCCATATAGAGCAGTTGGCATTTGGGTTCCTTCTTCCCTGTTCTTTCACCAATACAAAGCATCACACCTGAGCCTTTTCTACAACTGCCCTGAGTCACCTGCTGTTCTCTTTGGTTGTTCTCTCTGGACAATTGTCAAAAGCATCCAAAAGACTGTGGTTTGGATGTCAGAACAGCGGAGATTAGATGCAAGGGAGCAGGCACAGCGACAGAGGCTTGGAAATGTCACAACTCCCTCCCACCACTCCCAGCAGCTCTAGGAAAGAGCACCCCTTAGTTTAGAAATAACACGCCTGCATTTCTCAGAGGGTTAGAGGCAGATTTGGTACCACATTGTTAGCAGTTTGTTCCTGCCTGGCACCCTCGTAAGTGTTGCCTCTCTAACAATGCTGGTTGTTCAAAACTTTTAAACTGTGACCCAGGAGAAGAAAACCCCTGTATGAAGCTTCTTGTATATCCTTCACTTTAGGTCCCAGAGTCAAGTTGCAGAAAAAGTGATGGTTCATGCTTTGAGAGACTATTCTTTTAAAAGAAAATCTTCAGGGCCTGGAAGATAGCTCAGTGGGTCAAGCACTTGTCACACAAGTGTGATGAACTTTGTTAGCACCCACATGAATGCTGGGCAGGCCTATCAGCCTTCCTGCATTCCTAGTGCCCAGAAGAAAGAGACGAGAGTCACCTGAAACAAGTTGTGTAACTGGACCAGCCAAACTGGTGAGCTCTAGGTTCTGGCAAGAGACCATGCTTCAATATACAAGGTAGAAATAAATTTACAATTACACCTAACTTCAACTTCTGGCCTGCACAGATACATGAGCACACACACACACACACACACACACACAGAGAGAGAGAGAGAGAGAGAGAGAGAGAGAGAGAGAGAGAGAACATGCATAAATGGGTGAAAACTACATACATTTGCAAAAAGGGGAGTCTCTTCACAGGGGGGCTGTGGGGATAGTTCAGTTGGTAAAATGCTGGGCAAACAAGCATGAATGATAGAAGTCTATCCCCAGTCAGGCTTATAATCAATCCTGGGATACAGATAGGAAGATCCCTGGTGTTGGGTGGCCAGCCAGTCTAGCCTAATTCGACAGTCCTGGATCCCAGTGAGAGACTCTGTCTCAGAAACACAAGGTGGGTGGCTGCTTAAGAATGATCCCTGTGACCGTTATCTTCCAAGCGCATTCTGAAGAGGGTTACACACACACATGTAGTCTCACGGAGACCCCCAAAGTTATCACTAATCCAATGGGTCTCATGTTGCTAGAAGAAGATTAGAGATTAGAAGGGATCATTTTAGTTGAATTGTCTTTGTTTTTAAGTCCAAAGCTATGTGTTTATGTTAACATTTATTACAAATTCAAAAGGCTGGCACCAAAATATTTTGTTTCATTGATATTACTACTTCAATGGAAATTAAGTTGCATGTTCAGGTTTACTGAAACAATTCCACATAAATAATAGTAAATTCTTAAAACTTAAGTGGGGGCTGGAGAGATGGCTTAGCATGTAATAGTGTCAACTGCCTACAACCTTCTGTAACTCCAGCTCTCAGGCATCTAATTCTTCCTTCTAGTCACCATAAGCATTGCACTCACAGGCACCTATGCATAATTAAAACTTTAAAAAAACTTTTTTTAAGTAAATCACCTGCAGGTCATGAGCTTCTTGAGTAAACTTGCACCGCTGAAGTACAGCAGGTGCTGCCCTAGCTGCTCTTCACACACCACATATGGCAGTAGTGGATGGCATAGTCTGGGATCAACTGCAAAAAATCATCTGAAATACCCCTGATTTCATAAAATCAGAACAGAGCATCTAAACAGGTTTATAAACACGCATTTCCCCACCCCATCCTCCTCCAGGTTTCAAACTCAGGGAGAAACAAAGATCCTGACGTGATTTCCTTGCTTCTATCAGATTAACTGTGGCCTCCACAAAGACTGGCTATATGCAAAAATGTAACAACATACTCTCCAGATTTTAAACAGATGCTACCAGCCAATGGAGGCTGCCCAAGACCAAGGCAGAAACAAGAAAGGGATATTTTTCAACACTGAGCCACTCCTCCCAGGATTCTCCCTGGGAGCTGCAATTAATAAACATAAGCCCATGTAGAGATGCCTTCACAGGCTGCAGACGTAGAGCAAGCATAACCTTTCCTTTAAGCTGCCATCCAGCCAGAAGCATTTATTATTCTCACGCATCAGCATCACACAGAAAGACGGAGGACAGTAGAATTTAAAGAAGTGAGCCTAGACAGACTTGTATCCAGAATAAGCCATTCTGAAGACATTAGATGGAGACTTGGGAATTCACTGGAATGCTATTCTGGAAGGCACTCCCAAAGGTCTCTGAAATGAACAGGTGCACACCTTTCTATCATGCAGCCCTAAGCCACCTTCTAGACAGACTTTGTTTGTGAACCAGGAGAGACAAGGAGGAAAAGGGTTTGTCTTACAGAGAACTCAACAAGCAAAATCCGATTTAAATGTAACATTAAACTAATGACTCATTCTGCAGAAAGAAAACAATTGCTTACTAAGCTCCAAGTGCCATGTACTCTATCAAGGCACAGCATCTCACGGATTAGAAGTTGGATTTGACAGAGAAGAGCTCTAACATCCTAAATATGAAAAGGTCTAGAATCAGTTCTGCTCTTTGGATAGAGCAAAATCAACCTAATCGTCTTACAAACCTAAAGCACAATTAAGTAGAGAGTGTCAAATCACCCCAAACACCACCCTCTTTTCCTGAAGTTGCCTTAGAAGCTGGATGAATCTTTCGAGCTATTTAGAATTCCTAGAATGGGAAGAAATGAGAGCAGTGAACTTACCTTTCAAGTCACGGAATGACAGAAGTTTCTAAATCGTGCAAGACGAATGTGAGCTCTTAACCTCACCTTGTTAAGCACTGCTGCCCCCAGAAAGGTTTCAAGTTTCTGGCCACCTAAAACCTGATTGGATTCATGTTGCATGCTTCTTTGCTGTCACTAAGGCAAGTGATTTCTCACATATGGATTGCTTGCCACAAGAGAACTGAGCTGCAGGATGTTGCTTCATCAATCCAGCAGCTACAGGTTATTAAAATCATTTGTACATTAAAAGGACAGTGCATGATGTAATAAATTACTTTAGAGATTAAAAACCCAATTTAACAGGAGCAATAGATTCAGGCTACGCAAGGGAAGGAGTAGCCTGCTCTCTCAACCTCCTATAAGTCACATGGCATCTCCGATTTCAGGTTTGTATCTATAAAATGGAGTATTTATCTCCATGACATAAGGTTATGACAGAGATTGTAAAGCACCCTGTTCAATGCATAACATGTAGGAGTCATCAGGTACATAGGGGTCTCTTTTAGCAATATGGGACTAGAGATGGGTTCATATATCTCAGTAGGGGAAAACACAGTTTCATTTCTACATGAGGTAGAAGTCTGAGCAATTGGACACCTTGAAAACAAGAGGTCTTTAAAGATACAAATATTCCCTTGTGGGTCGGAGACCTTACTCTTTCTGGATCTTATATTGTATTGAGAAAAGAAACCATTGTGAAATATATATACATATATATATACACAAAAATAAATAAATAAATAAAACAAAACAAGGAAACAAGCCCCACCAAAAAACTGGAGGTGAGAAAACAGTTTGAATGATGACATAAAATCATAAACAGAATTTCCAGGTCTCCTTAAGTTTGGTAGCTTCTTAGTATAGTTTCTATTATCCTCACATGCTGAAGTGAAATTCTTAAATCAAAAAGGCTCACTGAGTTATCTCTAAAGGTACAACATTACTCATTGGAGAAGGGATACACTTCACAGTCAGGGAGGAGAGAGAGGTGATTGAATCATGGCATTTAGCAAGAGAAGAAGGTAATATCATAGTTTCCTTTATTATATTAACTCTCTTTGTGCAGAAGAAGCTACTCACAGAAGGGCAAAGAAACTGAGAAGAAATTGCAGGCTGGCTCACACCTTGCAGTCAGAACAGCAAACATACAAACAATAAAAGCTGGTTTTTCCTTCAGCCATAGAATAGTTTTAAAATAAAATATTGGCTCTGATATAGATACTATTTGTTGTGCTCCTTACCCACTTAGAGTCTAATAGAAATGCATCCTCATGAACAGACACCAAAAACACAGACACACACAGAAAGACAGAGGGAGGGAGGGAAGATTGGGTAGTTGCAAGCATATCTTGCATGGAGATATGTTGCGAGATGGTGATACAGTGCTGACTGAGGCTGCAGAGCCACAGTTCCCGTCCCAGTGCTTTTGATCAGTTTTTCTGTGTCCCCAGAACAACTAGTAGGCTTCAGTGATAAGAACAGAAAAGACAGCTTGCCACACAATTAGAAAGACAAGCAGATGAAACTACTTGCATATTATTTAGTATTCTTGAAGGTCATAAGGCATAGACAATGATAGGAATTTAGCACTGTTCCTTGTGCATAACATTATGACTGAATAAATACTAAATAGCTACTGTTAATGTGATTTACCCAAGGAAATGACTTATCCCAATCAAAACAATGTACTGATCAAAACTTATATCAAATTAAGCAAACTGTTGAAGGAGAGCAGTCAGAGCCCTGACTCTACCCCACATTGTGCTCACTACAAAGCTACAAACACTGCAAGTGTATGAAGAGGTAAGTAGCAGCTATGAGGGCCCTAGCAAAATCATAGTTATGCCCCTGTGCAGGGAAAGAATGAAATCACCTGAGCGTAGACTTCACAGTGTTTACAAAATTTAACTCCAGGGTAGATCACAGGCCTAAACATAAGACACAAAACTATAAAACACAGAAGAAAGTCTAGAT